CAGCTGGTACCTAACGCTGACTCCTGTCCATCTTCACCAGAGAACGGTCTAGTGCTGTTGTCTTTAAAAGCAAAGCAGTGAAAGCACGTCGAGATTTCTTTCTGACCTGGTTGGCAAGCACTCAAGGTGATGGTATCTGTGTATTATTTTAACTGCTTTAGATCGAAGCAATTTCCCTGAAATCGATGCTGCAGAGCCAGGGCAGGTAAAAGGGTACTCGGGTCAAAGGCAGACCTGTGTATATTTGGAAAAGAGGAAGAACAGTCCTTATTGCAGCACCACCCCAAACACTATACAGAGCCGAGAGCCCCGGCTGCCCGAAGAGTGGGGCAGTTACGACTCGTGTCCTCTTGTCACGCAGCCACTTGGAAGAAAACAGTGCACCCTGCTCAATGTGACTGTTGAAAGTTCTTCAGAAGCAAACTCTTGAGTGCTCTCATTATTATTTAAGGATGATTTGCAGAGATGGCCGAAAATTGTGTGTATTTGCACCAGCTGATTTTCTGCTTGGTTGCATCCTGAAGGAGAATTAACCTTTTCTCTTTCAAATTGCCTGCAAAGATCAAGGAATCAGTTCGGATCTCCCTGTGCCCTTTACCTTCCTGCCAGTCGCTGCATTTTTTACAGGGTCTGTTTCTAGTCCCACTGTGTCCCCAAATGTGAATGTCCTGAAACTCAGAGAGGTTCAAATCCGTGCCACGATCTGAACAGATATACCATGTACCTCTGCTGTTAGGTTTAATTAACTTAGGACATTCCAGGCTTTCTCTCCAAGCATCAGCCTTCCTTTCTCCCATGGATACTGTGAAGTCCTGCAGTGAACCTTGTTGGTATGACCTAATTTTTCTACAAACTGAGAGATTTAATTTGTTCAGGTGCCAGGCGAAGGGAACACAAACTTGGAATTCTCCTGGCTATGCTAATTTAGCTGCCTGAGATTTGAAAAATCAATATGGGAATTATCTGCTGTCTCTAGATTGTAACTTAATAATTGAAGCATAATTAAAAGGGTGACATCAGTTTATTTGGGAAAAATGTGGCTTTTTCTGCGGGCCCACCCCAGAACCTGTGTCCTGCTGAGCTGAGACCATGGAACTGGGATTGATTCCTCTTGCTAGGGAAACCCCCTGCTACTGAAAGTGCTGCTGCCACTGTTTAGTTCCCAAACTAACTGAATAACTCTTGAAAATAGTATTAATTCCGAACTGCCTTTTCAGATGACTGATATTTTACTAATCTGCCCTTTTCAGGTTCTCTATTATTAGCACTTTCAGTCAGACAGTATCTTCAGAGCATCAGTGTGGTCCAACAGACTTTGCCAAGGACATTAACAGTAATTACATATACATGTGTTATATCCATATATACAGGTGTATATGCCCGCCATGTATATAATACTGCTGTATATGAAGCTGTGAGTAAATGTGAGGATCTTCTCACTGGAATTATGTTGGCAAGCACAATTAATACATGACAGAGTACACGGTCTGATCACTCATTCATTGGCAGTAGGAGAATTTCTGTGTAACACCTTAGTGCTTCGTAGGTGAGCTGTGAGCATCCTGAATGAACACTGTCCCCTTCAGACCATTAGGCCGTAGTATGTAACGCCGCCTTCCTCACCATTACGCTCCCTCCGAAGAATCCTACCACAAGAATGCCCTTCCCAGACCTCACAAAATACAAAGACGTGAACTCCTGCGCAAATGACAAATAGCAGCTCATTATCGAGAGAAGCTTTATCGCTTGCGCAGTTTGAGAGTCACCCTCAGCGTATCCCATAGCTGTAGCCAGTCAAATAACGTACCAATGTCGGACCAGCGGCCTAGGGACATTGTGAGTTTGCTGAGAGTAGAGCCAAAAAATACACCGTTTGATACTTCCGTCTGCACTGTGTGACGAGGACTAGATGGTAATTGTCTGTCTAAAGAAACAGGTAACTCCACAGACAGCCAGGCTACCAAATGCACCGAATGTGCATTGGATGAAATATTGAACAGTGCTGAGCTGGCAGAGGAGCAAATTGCAGGAGAACGAGCCACTGCCCTGATGCACTCAGCTGGCCAAAGCTGGGGTCGCGTGAGGGACCGCACATTTTGAAAGCTCACGTGGTAACGAACACCCAGGGTACTCTGACAGTGGGGGGCTTCTGACAACTTTCGGTTCCCGATTACTTTGAGGACCCCAAATGCACAATACCGACATAATTTATCCCTTGGCCCACTGCCTAACTAGCATGTTACAGTTCAACCCAGCGCTGCCTTTCCGTGAACGACAGCCATTCCTGACGTGCTCAGCCTTCCCTTGACAACCTGCTCATCCACCAGTTTAATCTCTCATGCTGCTTCTTTCCTCAGCCTCCCCCCATTAATGGTTAACTAGTTAAATCTCTGCTGGTTCACATGATGACAGCCTAAGTGACCCGCTGTAACACCTCTGTGGTGCTCAAATAACGACTCCGTCCCGTTTCAGTGTCCCACCTTTGTTCGGTCAGTGCGCCGGCGAGGGTTTTCCGCTGGCACTGTTAGAGACCTCACTGGCATCTCTTCCCTCTCCCGCTGAAAGACCTAAATGACAAGATTACACGTATCCAGCCTGTTTTGCTGACAGAAAACAGGAATGCAGTACCAGGGTATGGAGTGTTTCAGTTTACGCTCCCTAGTGAAGATGCTGCCAGGCTCGTGTAAGGCGACGGTGCCTCCAAGGAAACCCGAGTGGAGACTGCCCGGGCAGGAGCAGCGCAGCTCAGCCCGTGTCTGCGCAGCATTTGCTGCCGCCCACGTCGTTCCCGACGGCCCAAACTTTGCCCTCTTCTCTGTGCAACAGGGAAAGGCACTAATCTGTGAGCAGTACTGGACCCGTGGAGAGCTCTGTTTATCTGCTTCAGGCCATTTCTCCACCTAAACCTGCTTTTCAGCAAAATGATTTAGCGTGGGTTTAGTTTTAATGATTTGGTTTAAGTGGGTTTTTCAGCGCTTTATCAAGCTATAACAATCATCAGCTGCTTAATAAATATTGGATTAAAGTCTGTAAAGGGAGCTAACACAGGTATCAGAAAGGCAAAAATGAAAGGACACTGCCAGGCACTAAGCTTTTCTCTTTGCAATGCGCCGCTGTGTTCTTTGGGCTGAAGGACATTTTTCAGTGATGCTGGAAATTGCAACACCAATATTATTTTTGACAATAGAAAAGTGTAACAGGGACTGTAATTCTGGCAGTTTTCTGGACGTCTACAGTGAAACCTCCCTGGAATTTAATGCTCTTGGAGAAAACTACAGAAAGAAAACTATTTGCTCCAAATACACATTAATAGTAGTTGGAATTCAGCAATACCTTTGGGTAGGTGCTGAGGTGAAAACTCTGGGCATTGAACTGGTACATGTTTGGCATGCCAGGACATTAGTAAATTCACCAGTACGTATATTCATCAATACATGGCAATAAGTAAGTTGGATTTTTAAAATGATCACAGCAGAAGCAGACAAAAGAAATAAAACCTTCGTTTTTGAAAGCATCGCCCCATGTCAATGTGTTGTTCGTTACAAACAAACGGTTGTTTTCTAGTGCATAATTAAAAACTCTCCAGCAGCATGGAAATTGCTCTGGCACAGCACTGACTACAGAGGTGCCACCAACAGCATCCCGTTGATTCACACATCCTTACGATTTCCAATAGCCAGCGCAGCTGGATCGCTGTGCTCCGTTGCCATCACGCTGGGCCCCTGTGCCTTTGGGATCCCTTCTCCTCAACGCACAGCCTCACTGAATCTTCCATGGTCCCCACTGCCCGGGCCTGGGATCTGCCTGCAAGCCTTTGGGACCTCAATGCTTAGATACCTTCAGCTCCCAGCAGCAGGACCGACTCTCCCAGATTTTTCAGGGAAATACAGCCTTTCCAAGCTGTTTCTCAATGTCAGAGCAAACACTGAGGTTTGAAAAGACTTCCTGTGACTAACTGAAGACAATCAGAAGCTTTAAACAATTAATTGAGAAAAGTGACATTCAATCTGCATAACCTGAGGTGATTTCTAGCATTCTGGATATTTTTCCAAGCACAGGGTCAGCTCAAACTCCTTTCAGCTTCACACTGTCTCAGCATGTAGCCAAGTGCAAGGCTTAACCCTACAGTGGCCTCTTACCAGTGCATCTGTTTCAAAGGCGCTCGGGAATACGTATCTGCTCTCCAGTGCCACTGTATGAACATGGATCTGGTTTGGAAACGTGCTGAGCTCTCAGCCACCCTTTGTCCCACGGCACTGAGGCGTATGGCTCGTGTATTGGATCCAAAGGGTTGAGTAGCTACCAGTTGGCACTGCAGCGTGGTTGTCAAAGAGCGCTGTGTGCCGACAAGCTGACTCTAGTTCTGCACTGGAGTGCAGGCTCAACTTTGTCTGCTTGGAATTCCCGGTACTGGAAATACTACGTGAAGCTGTTGTTTCCTTCTGTAGAAATTGGAAAATAGTAAAAGAGAGGTTTTCTTTCACTTCTCTTGCCTTAGAAAACTTAACCCCCAGGAGTAAAAGACAGGGCAATGTCCACTCCATGGTTAGTGACGTGCACTACACTTGTGTTCTTGGTTCGTGTAACTGGGGCTACTCTAGCTCACAGGGATGCATTTAGAGGTGCATGGACACGCACCATCGACACCTTCCCTTCAGGTACGATTCCTCCTCCAGCACAATGTTAGAAGTGTAACGGGAATGATTTAACTGCCAGAATAGCTTGAACATCCATTACAGAGAGTGTTAAGCGTTTTGCTTTATTACTGCTCTTCCAAGTATCAAGACACACATACAATGTTTTGATAAATGCATTATGATTTGCCAAATACAAATTGGTACAGCTACAACTTAGAGCTTTGAATTGGCAACATTTCAGTCATGACAGTTACACTTCATGTAAAATGACTTAGCGCTATGTTTGAATTAAACTCCAACAAGTAATATTAGTTTCACAAGTAGAACTACATCACTGTCTCTAAAAATATCGCCGTAGCAGGACTATTCACATGGGTTCTGAATAACGATCAGGAGATACTCCTTATCTGCAAAAAGACATAAAAATGTTTACTTAAAATTATTTTACCTTATTTCCTGGTAAATGCTCTTTATTCATCTATCCCTCTCCAACTTTTTATTTGTTTATAAAACATAAGCAAAAGCAATGGCATTGATATAAAAAACCATTCAGAAAATATAAGCAATTTGTAGAAAAATCTGCGATTACAGATAAAAAAAAATCTGTGTCATAAAGCTTAACTGTACCATATTGAAACTCTTTTAGTAAGCAGTAGCTCTGCTTTCAAGAGGCTGTAAAGGTATTTAAACAAGTCACAAGATAAGCACCTGGAAGCTAGCACTTGTTATAATACAAAACTTTGACATCTGCAGCCCCTTCGCAGGTGCAGGGAACTCCTTCCCCTTCGCTAACCAATTCACTCCAAACCGAGAGCCCCGTTGCGACATGCAGAAAGCAGCAAAGGTTTGACTAGACTCTTGCTGCGAGTAAACTCAAAGCATGCCTAGTTCAGAAGGCCCAGGGTAGTTTTGGAAACAATTCAGATGGAGCTGTTTAACAGTATCTGTTTCAAATTAAACATTTCTTGAAGGCACCCAGTGCATTTGGTAGGTCTTATCTGTGAGGTAAGAGCCGAACTCCTGCCCTGTCGCTCTCATCCAAAAGCAACTGCATATTTGGGCTTGTTCAGCCTGGAGAAGAGGAGGCTCTGAGGAGACCTCATTGCAGCTTTCCAGTGTCTGAAGGGGGCCTACAAGGGTACTGGGAGAGGACTTTTTACAAAAGCCTGTAGTGATAGGACAAGGGGTAATGGGTATAAATTGAAAACAGGGAGGTTTAGATTAGATGTCAGGAAGAAATTCTTCACAGAGAGAGTGGGGAGGCACTGGGACAGGTTGCCCAGAGAAGCTGTGGATGCCCCATCCCTGGATGTCTTCAAGGCCAGGCTGGATGAGGCTTTGAGCAACCTGGGCTAGTGGAAGGTGTCCCTGCCCATGGCAGGGGGTTGGAACTAGATGATCTTCAAGGTCCCTTCCAACCCAAACCATTCTATGATTCTATGATTCTATGCATATAAATCACAGGTGGTTCATTTGCCACCTTCTATTACAGCAAAATACAATCGAGCCTTTAACAACTCATCGCCCTGTGAGCAAAAAAGCTTCACATTTCGTGCCACTTACCTTCAGGTCAACATGCTTTAACGGTTACTAGTCAGACAGCCACCTCGGAAAAATCAGCGAAGGGCAAATGCAAAAGCAGAATCAAGCGGCTCAGTTTAAATCAGTGAGCAAAAACCACAATTTAAAAAATGCATGAGGTGTAGACTCCAGAATAGAAACTAAACTAAAATTTTAATCTTAGTATCAGCTGATGACTAATGTCAACACTTCACGGTAGTGCCAGATTTCCTTCACACAGACTGGTTCCATAGCAGCATTATAAATAATTCCAGGGGGGTGAGGTAATGCCTGCCGAGTGCGGAACCCTTGCCCCGCACTTGCTGTGACGCCAGCATCAGAGGGCTGCCCCGGTGAGGGCTGCCCATCACCACACGCCCAGAGCCAGCGCCCTCCTCACGCCTGCTTTCTCTTCTGCATGCCTTCCCTGGATGCCTGTCCAAATCCTGCGCACCACTAGTCTCTCAGTCAGCTACGCACACGGCGGGCGCTCAGCCCCAAGCCATCACGGCCTCTGTCCCCGTTCACCTTGCACTGGTAATTGGCCGCAGCCACTCCGGCCTTGCTGTCTGCTGCGCACACCCCCAGGCATTACCCTCCACCTGCGGTCAACGTCAGCGAGAAGCAGGTGGCTGTATTCCCCGGCTGTTTTAAGGGAGATAATTCTGCACATCTGACACCAATCCCGCCCTGGTAACACACCAAGTGAAAAATAATTTTTAGAAACAAAAGATTTTTTACATCTTTTTGGAGCTAAAATGGATCTGCTGCTGTTAATACTACATAGTTGTAGGACAAGGGGTAATGGTTTAAATTGAAAGTGGGGATGTTTAGACTGGACATCAGGAAGAAATTCTTCCTGCAAAGGGTGGGGAGGCACCGGGACAGGTTGCCCAGAGAAGCTGTGGATGCCCCATCCCTGGGAGTGTCCAAGGCCAGGCTGGATGAGGCTTGGAGCACCCTGGTCTGGTGGAAGGTGTCCCTGCCCATGGCAGGGGGGGGGACTGGGTGGGCTTTAAGGTCCCTTCCAACCCAAAACATCCTGTGATTCTGCGATTCTCTGACAGGCACACACTATTTGATACATGTATTTGTCCAGTTTTCCTTTGTGAAAACCCACAGAAACCAGCCTGTTAATGGGATTGAGGCTTGTTTGGTCACCTCCAAGCTTGAACACTATAAATTCTGTACATTAAATCCTAACGTACCTGGTTTTATGATGGTTATATTTTCATGTCCTTGCTTTAAAAATGCATTTGCATTGGTAGCCTTATTTGTGAAGCAAAAGAAACGTAAAAGGACATAAAATTCTATTGTTACGTTAATAGAAATATTACCTGGAGCTACCATAATTTCGTGTTTCTTTGTTCTGATCCTAAGGAAGGTTAGATCATTTTGGGGATCAATCTCTCTCACTGTGCTCCTAGCTGTCATGGTGAGCTGGTGAAGAAGACCTGCGTACTGGACTGTTGTGGAGTTATCAAGAGTTGTTCTTATTGGAATTCCTGCAAACAGATAATTTTCTTACAATCATTAAGTTGCATATTCTTCATAACAGCAGATCATAAAAGAAAAAACAAGGATTTCACTTTTTTTCCTGTTTTGTAGCAGTCAGGAGTTAAGTTGATTTCAGGCATCTATATGCTTTAAAAAGTACGATTTCTGTTAATCAGTGGCAAATAAAGGAGTACAACAAATAATAGAACCACCTCAGATATTAGACTATTCCATAGTTTTCCTAGGAAAGCGTTATTTGCATCACTTGAAATCTGCGCTGTCACTTGAGAAATGGTTCTGCATTGGTCGGCTGTGTAGCGTAGGGAAGTGCACGGGACCACCCCGCGCACCCCTCATGTCTGATGTCATTACACAGTGATTGGAACGGGTGTTTAATGGAAACAAGCAGGTGTTGCAAGCACTGTGTTGCTGGAGAATGTCTGTGTAATCACAGCTTAAGTCACTTAAAAGCAGCAGTGAATTAGTGTCAAGTTTATATGACCTTCTATCTAAATGATTGCTTCAACAAATACAGCACTTTTAATGAAAATGGTAAATGTTAAATGATCCTCCAAGGTCTAATAATAACATGAAAATGAGCTGACACTAGTGACATCCTTAGATTAAAGCTGAGCTATGCTTACTTTAGGACAAATTCTCTTTGCCTCCGCCACCCAAATTAGAGGAAGGCAAATAAATCCTTCATTAGAAATGCCATAGTGTGATCCTTCTCAGCTGTGACAGAGAGCAGAGTTTATGAGATTTTTCCAAATAAACAGTGCCACTCAGCATCATGTTTCAATGAGCAGATCAACTTGGAGCAGTAGAATAAATGACAGCCAAAGTTCGTATTGGGAATCTTTAAGTTGCTCTTTCACCTGCGTGCTGTTACACCTCAGGGTACCTACACTATGACAAAAACCTTATTGTTGATGTTAGTGAAGAACAGAGGGTTTTGGCTTTGTAGGGACCCTGAACAGCCTGAGACCTCACTGCTGCACTGCTGCCTTGAGTATTTGTACCGTGATCGCGTCAGGTTGCACACTTGTTCCAGATATTAGCTGTGGTTTAACCCCAGCCAGCAGTGCAGTAATTACATCAACTAGTGCTAGTTATGGATATTTGGAGATATTACAAAAACTTGCAACTGCACACCTATGTTGAGATTAGGTCTGTGGAATCTAACCGCGGTACGCTGAGTACATCCCCACAGAGTACACACTCTTGCATTCGTATCTGGTGTCAAAACATTTCTAAGTGTAAATGAAAACCAAAATTCCTGCACTAGCCTTGTCTGTCAGCTTCAGCCTGGCTACATGTTCCACAGGTTTGTGAGGGTGAGGAAGTTTGAACAGGACACGGGGGACTTGATACCTCACTGTGAATAGCGTAATGTGCGAAAAGGGGAAGCGGACTCTTCTGCCTCCTTCGCAAATCAGAAGTGAGACAGGAGGAGTCCAAACCAGCCTTTAAGGAAGCAGGCTGTTGTCCCAACTCTGCACTGCTATAGCTGAGCTTTCCCCTGATACCACAGAACAGCCACAGGTAAAGATGGAGCTCAGTACACACCGGGTGGGAAACCACGCTTCACCAACACTGTACCAAGAAATTATCTGCTCCCAGTGAATGGGAGGAAACATAAGGAAACTGGGTTATTTTTTTAGATTGCATTGAAGGCTTTGCCTATCAGTCTGCAAGCTCAAAAGGGATCATTTGTGTTATCCAAGTGCCTGATTTCGGTCATTTCTCGTTGGCAGCTTAGTCCGAGTGCTCATCGGATGGAGTCACGGTCTGTGCACCGCAGCAGAAGGCAGCGGTGGCTGAAGCAGTACGTGTTCCAGTCAGGCTGCATTTCAGCTTAGTGAACAGCCCTATCTAGCCATGAGCACGTGCAGCTTTTCACTTTCCATTTGCCAGGCTGTGCACTTCTCCTGACCTCCATCATCTATTCTGTGAGCAAAGGCACGTTTTACTGAACATGTTCAGGCACATAAATTAAATTGTCCACATTTTCTGAAGGCTAAGTAACATTTAGGCTTCCTTCTTCGTGTTCTTTCCTCCTGTTGCTGAACTGCTGCTAGTGCAATAGGTTTTTTGGGGGAATGGGACACTGTAAAAGTGAAAGGGGTCAATTAAATTATAGGCAAGGGAAGTTGAGTGAGTTGTCTTTTTTTGGTAAAGGGATGATTAAAATAGATTAACACGAGAAGCCACTTTTGGCTGGCAAGGTTCAGGGTCACAGCCAAAGCTGGCCTGACATAAGACTTGCTCTTCCTCCTTTGAACCACACCATAACCAAATTAAATAACTTGTGACTAATTAGCAGGGCCAAGGAATGACTCCCCCAGCATGAGACCCACTTTGCTCAGTAGATACCCTTCTGCTGATGGTTTTGTCCTATTAGAACTGTCCAGAGGGAGAGGGGGAGAGCAAAGCGGTTGTGAATTTTCCTGCATATACAGAGCATTTGGGACAAAAAAGTGGCTGCAAAAGCAAGAGCTTAGTGCCACAAGTTCTCCCTTTCTGCAGCCTGCCGAGAGGCGTCCAAAATGTTCTGAAAAACAGTCTACACAAGGGGGGTAGGTAACAGCTCCCTCAGGTAAATTAAGGTTATGATACTTCTGTTTATTTCTTCAGAGACTTGTGTCAAGGCTCTTGTCTTTTCAGTTTCCTGTTCACTCGAATGAAAAACCACCTCACAGGGGCAGCTGCAAGCCGTGGCC